TTGTATATAATGCGTCTCCGCTGTTGGTTGTAATATTGGTGAAGTAAATCCACACTTTGCTGAAGAAGCGTTAGCATACTCTTGAGCAGCAACAACAGTACCATGTACTCCGCCATTGTTGTGTATGTTTGTTCGCGCTTGCCTTTAAAATCGACACGTACTGCGCATGTCTACATACCGAACACGTACAAAAAATAAATAAATAAAACTAACACGTACTACGCACGTGCGTGACGTAACCTTTTTCAAAGATTCCCGTATTGGGTGTTTACACGAAAACGATAATGGTAGCGTTTTCAAAAAACTTGCACTTTGAAACCCGTTTTCAAAAATATGCATTTTCAGTCCCCAAAACGCCGTTGTCGTGTAAACGAACAGGCAAAACGCATAAAAAGTTCCCTGTTTCTGGCTGAAAACGTTGTCGTGTAAACAGCCCCTAACAAACATTTTTCAGCTTTTGTTAGCCTTCTCTGCACATTTAAAGGGACATTAATATAGAGAGACGGAAGTAAAACAGTGGGAAAAGAGGGAGAATCAAGGATCAAGAAATGTTGCGAGCTGGCTTCCAACTCATATCAACCCCTCGAGGCAACATGGCACAGCAGATTGGAGCACATGCATTAAGATATGTAGGAAACATTATGGAGTGTGGTTTGAGCCCTGGGAACTTAAAGTCAACATATAATGAAAGTTCTCTAATGGCGCTTTTCCACTGCATGGTACGGCACGGTACAGTTCGGTACGGTTCACTTTTGGGGGGTTTTCCACTGGGTACAGTACCTGGTACTTTTTTTAGTTGAGGTTGCACGTGAACCGTACCGTTACCAAAACGCGATGTGTAAACTCTACTGATTGGCCGGAGAGAATCGTCACTACCTGCATCACTTAACTTGCGACACAAACACAACAGGTACGCTAGATTTAAATCAGCACAGCCGGAAGGATCGAACGCAACTGTTTTGAATGAGCGCACCTTTTTTTAACAACCAAAAAATAGCTGTTTCGTGGTCTGTTGAGGAAGTACAGACGTTCCTCTCGTTGATAGCAGAGGAGTGGATCCAGCGAGAGCTTGATGGGGTGACGCAGAATGAAAAAGTTTTTCAGGAGTCACGGCGCAACTATAACGACATGTGAATAATTCTGCCGACTCTAAAGCGGTGCTAAACAGCAGTGGAGACGCAAACCGAGCCGAGCCGTGCCGTATTGAGCTGTGCTGAGCCGAGTCGTACCATGCAGTGGAAAATCGCCATTTATGCATGTTGTTGGTTTTATTGTAAACAGTTCACCCAGGTATATGCACCTTTTTTGAAAAAATAATTTTTTATTAAAATATCATTATCACAATCTTCTGGTGAAAAGACAGACTTCTCTCTGGTTGCGTATGCTGTACTTCTCCAGTAATTTAGTTTGCAATCGACTACAGACTCGCATTCAGATCCATCTCCATCCAATTAACAACCACTGTATTGAACCAAGTCATTTTTTCATTTTTGATAGCCTGTTTCAATCTGATGTACACTAAAATGTATTCCAGGTCTCTGTCAGTACCTCAGTCTCCAGTGATTGTATCTCACGTGGGAGCTCCACAGCATGGCGGGTGAAGTAATCCATGGTGATGGCATCATTCCAGTAGCTCAAGTTGTTCTCCTGAGTTGCAGACTTCTTCTTTTTCCTCATACAGCATACGGTAAGCAGCACGGCTGAAGAAAAGAAGACATATTAATATTCTATATCTAACTCTTCTTCATTTTAGCCTTAAGACCACATTCATCTGAATTTTGTATGATGAATTTCAGAAAGTTGTAAGCAAAAGCCACTAACCCACAAAGGGAATATTATGTTATCTTGTGACTTTGGAAAAGTTCCTGTCAGTGCTGATGACAGAAAGTACAAGTTTCGAAAGCTGGAGGAAGTGTGATATTGGTTACTCACAGCATGAGGAGACAGGCACGCTTATGGCAAGAACCAACCACACAATGTCCATTTTGTCCAGGCAGATGGTGTTTTTTTCGTGAGGAGGACCCAGTGCAGGACCCGACTGGTTCCCAGACCCCCATGGGCCTTGCGTGGTGGCTGGGACCTGCCTGTTCATGAAGCTCCCGCTAGCTGTGGAGGGTGCCTCTGAGATGTTCGAATCATTTGCTGCAGGCCATGAGGCGTCAGTGCTGTTGATAACATCTGTGGCATCATTTAAAGAGACAATAGAATCAATTGTCATATTGGTGGTTCCATCACCTTGGATGTCCACAAAGTTTCCGCTCTCCGCTAAAGAAGTGAGATTGGATGTTGTAACATGGTTAGAGGGCAGGGCTAGAGCTGGGGGAGGAGACTGGATGCCAGTTTGTGCCAAAGCTCTTCCCACCGTTTCCAATGGGAGAGTGGGATTCTCCGTTGAAGACACATCACGCGATGTAATGGTGTGGTGCGAAGCCTCCTTATCCGTGTTCTGCCCTTTGTGGGTTTTGAAGTTTGAAGACAATGAAGGTGATGGTGGATGTTGAATGGGCTCCTTCACCTTCATCTCTCCAGTATCTGTGGTCCCCGAAATATCCTCGGCACCAGGGGCCACATCACTTTCAGTTCCTGAGAGAAAAGAATGACCCGAGCCAGAATTTGTGGCTTGGTTCACTGGCTTTATACTGATTGTACTTGGCTTGTCGGTATTAGTGCTAAAGTTCTGGTCTTGGGTTTTAGTGGTGAAAAACCCAGAGCTTGTTCTATTGACCATACTTCTAGAGGTCAGTTGGGGTGCTTCTGCTTCTGGAAGAGGGACTCTAGGTATTGCCTGATCCCTGGAACCAAAAGGATGCACCTCTACTGTTGTTGTTTGAATTATGGCAGATGGTACAGTGTTCTTCGGTGTCTGTAATGAGTGGACAGTAGTGGGTCTACTGATGGCTTCTAGAGAGGCCAGTGACTGAATGTGCAGATCCCCAGTCCTGGAACCCTCCTGCCAGCTCAAGGGTCCCGGTGAGAGGGTGGCGAGGGTTCTGCTGCTCGTTGACATCGAGACAAAATCCCGAGGGGTTTGGCTGGGTTGAAGCTCCTCTGTGGAGAACACCAGCCCAACTGGCACAGACAGAATCAGCAGAACACCTGAGAAAGAAAAACAGGCCATGAGAAGAATGCAGACATAATGCATTTATGTAAAATGCTCAGTCTCACTGCACATATAGCACCAAGGAAACTTTTACTTCAAGCTTTATTTAGTCCTAATGAGGTTCTTACAGAACCATTCAGGGATCAGTCAAGTAACAATCTTAGCTGGGGCAGCTTGATTAGAGTCTGATGAGCTTTAATGAATGCTGGTAAGGTTACTACAGCATCTTAATGACATAAAATGTGGACGTGCCCTGTCTTATGGTTCAAAATTGGACACCACTGCATGCACAAAAACCATACAACTACCTTCTAAGACACCTGATGATCAGAGTGAGGTCATTGTTTCATCTGCATGCCATTTTAGTTGCTATAGAAACCCAGATTTAGCTCTTAGAAGGGGAAGGCGGTGAGAGATGAGAGAACAACATCACAAACAGTATCAAGCCATGGAGAGATCTGAGATCTACAAATTTAAATCAGATCGACACTAATCACTCTGAAGCCACTCTGAAAGAAAAACGACACCACTGCTGTACATATACAGTGCATAGCTGTGCATTTGTTGCTGCCATAAAGCAATCCGCCCTTTTTGCAGAATTTCGTACCCGCTCATTAAACGTACATACTTCCAGAACAGACATTGGGGGTGGGGTGGGAAAGAAACAGAAGCAATTATTAAAGCCTTATTAGAAGTCATTCTAACATGATAATTATTTTGAAACTGATATGTTAAGGTAAATAACTGACAAACAGTGCTTTAAAACATCTGTCAGTGGTGAAATGAATTGTTATTATTATTATTATACTGCTACTACTACTAGTAATACTAATATAAATAATTCTATATACAGTATACTGTATCACACACAAGGTGTACAGCACCTTCCAGCAGGGGCTAACTTGACAATGCTAACTAGAAAAATGAAAATTTAGCATATACTAATATGAGCAAAAGGCTATACAATGGGTTTAAGAATTGAAACAAACTTCTCTTCTACAATTTCCCTGCTGCATTGATCAACAAGAAGACAGCACATTTTTTGAGTAAATGTTTAGTGAATGGTAAGTTCCCTATCCATACTTCACTCGTACTGCGTCTGCTAAGACACTATGGGAAAAAGTCATTTTTTCTCCTGAACTGAAGCCTTTTTCAATAATGCAGTGTAACTGCACAGCCACTGGTTCGTGCAGTGCACTTAAAAAACAAACCAATGGCTTGGCAGCAGTGCTGCACGAACCTATGGCCACGAAGCCCGCCAGAATGAGTGGGGCCAACTGGCTATATAAGCGGGCGCTTCGCCAGAGGATTCAGATTTCTTCTCCTTCAGCGACGACGACGTTCTTCGCTGATCTCCGCTGACTGGAGAGCCTGCTCACCGTTGACACGCCTCGCAGTGGAAAAGCGACCTCTCTGCTCGGCTGATTTGCCGCCTTCAGCACGCAGTGAACCAGCAGTGGTCCAGATTCCCCTGCCGTCATCCGGCGAGCCTTACTAAGAGCAAATTTCTAAGAGCACATTTTTGCTGCGTTGTTTCAAATGCCGCGCCGTTATTGCGGTACGTGCAGGTCTCCCCTGCGCGCCGATGACGGCCACCGTGAGTGCGTTTCCTGCTTGGGGAAATCCCACGTGGAATCCGCACTCACTGAGACGGATTGTTCCCACTGTGAGAACAGGAGTCTCGCCTCTCTGCACTCACGGATAGCTTTCTTTTCAGAGAGTGACTCCGCCCCTCGCGCCCTCCCTATTTCTTCCTCCCAGGAGCCTGTGAGGAAAAAGCAGCGGGGCAGGGGATCGCAGCGCTCGGATGCGAGCGAGCTCACGTCGGCTCAAGTGCCTCGCTCTCTCCACACAGAGAGGCTTCCCCCCTCCTCTTCTCCCAGCCTGACCAGTGTCCCTCTGCCAGCGCGAGCGATCTGGTCTCGTTCGGTGGGAGTGATGAGGAGCTGCTGGATGACAGCATGTCATTAGCAGCCTCGGATGCAGAGGAGCTGACGGGTTCGACTGCCGACCCGCCCCCTGCCGTCGTCCGAGCCCAGCGACATTAAGCCCGGGATGGATGCCGAATTACTCCGTGTCTGCTCGAAAGCCGTCGAGTAGCTGGGATTGGAGTGGTCTCCACCGGAGGAGCCCTCCCGCAGTCCTCTGGACGAATGGTTCCTCCCGGGGCGCCGTCAAGCCCCTCGTCAGCGATCCTCTTCTTTTTTCCTGGAGGTCCATGACGAGCTCACCAGGTCGTGGCACGCCCCATACTCTGCATGCCTCCGTACTTCCACTTCATCCGCCCTCACTTCGGTGGACGGCGCTGAAGATAAGGGATACGAGAAGCTGCCTCTGCTAGACGAGTCAGTGGCCACGCATCTCTGCCCGCCCACTGCTATTGGCTGGAAGGCAAAGGCCGCCCATCCATCCAAGCCGTGTAGGACGACTTAAGCCCTCACTGGACGTGCCTACTCCTCTGCTGGGCAAGCAGCTTCGGCGCTCCATTCAATGGCGTTCCTCCAGGTCTTCCTGGCCAAACTCCTCGCCAGCACGGATGAGTCTGGCCCAGACCCAGCGTCACTCAGGGAGCTGAGAAGTGCGACGGACCTGGCTTTGCGCGCCACCAAAGCTACGGCTGAGGCTATAGGGCGTTCCATGGCCAGTCTGGTGGTGCTCAAGCGCCATTTATGGCTGACCTTGACGGAAATCAAGGACGCCGACAAGGTTCCCTTCCTTGATGCTCCGGTCTCCCCCACCGGTCTGTTCGGGCCAGCGGTCGAAGGCTTCGCTGAGCATTCCACGGAGGCACAAAAGCCATCCCAAGCCATGCGACACTTCCTGCCCAAACGCTCTAGCTCTGCAGCTGCCTCTAGTCGCCCCAAGTCTGCGCCGACACAGCAGCCCGCAAAGCCTGCACCTGCGGCTGGCGTCACCACCCAGCCAGCCAAGCCTGAGCCTCGTCAACGTTCCCTCTCGGCCAAACGCTACCCGTTTCCGAAGCGCCAGGGACCCCGGCCCAAGATAGCGCTGGACCCTGCGCCTCAGGCGTCGTCCTGATCTACGGGACAGAAAGAGGACCACCCCCCAAGCTGCCTCTCTTAAGCTGCCAATCACCCCGTCCAGTTCCGGGTGCAGTCAGCGATGTGTTTGCTGCAAACTCTGGGCCCGTTCAAGCGCCCAAGGGGCGATCCGCTGTTATAGCGGGCAGATTAAACCCTGCGGTCTGTCTTGTATTTTCTTTATGATCGTGAAAAGAACTAAAAATACTTCGTCATTTTTGATCGTACAAATAAGAATAAGGTATCGTTTGAAACTGCAAAGGGTCTACTTTTATTTGTGTATAGTCATAATAACAACAAAACAATGTGCTTTTGTAAAATATAGAAAATAAACAGGGTGCATTCTCCACCACGTAAATAAAACAACCTGAATCTCTATGAATACTTGCCTCAAAACATGAGAAATATATGTATAGAAAGCTTGAAATGTCTACTTTTAAATGAAGTAAGTTACGTCCAAAACAAATATTCTGTGATAAAGTAATCTGTATGAAACCAACGCGATGTCCAGTTTTCCCGTCTCAACTCATTATCTCTAGTGCAGTCACGCCCATGAGCCGATCGCGCTTTTCAGATTCTAAACATCCACGTGAGACATGCGTGCATGTAAACGCCCACATCGCCTCCGTGTAAACAAACAAGTTAATCCCGGCTACTTTTTGGTTCTGGAAGAAGACGCGCTGAGAGAAATAAACCCAAATTTACCTCAGAATAAGAATGCATCATGCAGCTAGATCCAGTGGAGAATATCACTCTGATATTACTAGTTAAACTTTTCCCAAACTATAATTCCTGACTACATGTATGAAATCAAGTGAAACATTTTGAAACGTCATTGTCTAAACATCTCATAACGCCAGGATGTTTGTTTATTGTTTTATAACATATAAAACCACAAGATATAAAAGTAGTGTTAACACTATTAGAGTCTAGGAATGTTTGGCACAAAGGTGTGTTACTGTTCAAGTCTCAGTGTTCAGATCAGTATGTTCAATAATGTGTCCTTGACCTTCACTGTTTACTCTCCTCACACTCTTTCTTACCTGCCTCAGTCACATTCATGTTGATGGCCCATTATGGAGGCCCTTTGTCTCTCAGGTGTAAATCACTAAATATTTATGGCCATTGTCACTCCCTTGCATATGCCTTTCTAACACAAATCATGTCTTACAAAAGTTAAATGAATATATTGTTTTCTGTGAACGAGTAAACAGGATAATTTTCACATTATTTTGTAGCAAAAACTCTAGTCTACCACATCCAGTTCTCAAAAGTCTTGTGAACAAATATTCTGTATGTGTTTTATGGCCTTATTTTAGTGACTTAAAAATTTAAGTTTTTCACAAACCACGCATAAACGTTGTTTTCTCAAAAACACAAACATGTACATTCATGCTGCTCACATATTATCGTAGTCCAGATTGTGCTGAATACAGTATTATCAGACTTTAGCCATTAATATGTTTTTAAGATACTGAAAAAAATACAAATGTCAGCGCATGTCAAAACTTCTCCAGGACCCCAAAACACCCTCAGACCCCAGCCGGTTTAAAACACAAACATTTTCAAAAAGAGAGCAGATTTCCTCTTCCATTTCTCAAGAAAACCGTGTCCCCTTGCTGCGACCAGGCACTCGAACCAATCCAAACCCTGACTTCCCAGGCCGTGGCATGGGAGTGTCAGAGTGGGTTCTGGGGATAATAAAGCGAGGCTATTCACTTCAATTCGCTCGAAGACCCCCACGCTTCAACGGGGTGGTCCCCACTTCGGTTCAGAGCAAGGACGCACACGTCCTGCGCTCCGAAGTGAAAAATCTGCTGGCAAAGGGAGCCATAGAGACGGTTCCTCCAGCTCAGAGCGAGTTAGGCTTCTACAGCCGTTACTTCCTCGTCCCAAGAAGGATGGCGGCCTGCGGCCCATCCTCGATCTCAGACGCCTGAATAATGCCCTCATGA